CCTTTTGAATGCTCAGAGTGTGGAAAGAGATTCAGTCAGAGTAGTAATCTTCAGTGTCATCAAAGAACCCACACAGGAGAAAACTTTTGAATGGTCAGAGTGTGGAAAGAGATTCAGTCACATTAGCTCTCTACAACAGCATCAGAGCACACACACAGGGGAGAAACCTTTTGCATGCTCAGAGTGTGGAAAGAGATTCAGTCACAGTAGCCAGCTTCAAAAGCATCAAAGAATGCACACAGGGGAGAATCCTTTTGAATGCTTAGAGTGTGGAAAGAGTTTCAGTTGCAGTTACAGTCGTCAGCGGCATCAAAGAAACCCACACAGGGGAGAAACCTTTTGAATGCTCACAGTGTGCAAAGAGATTGAGTTCGAGTAGCACTTTTCATAAACATCTAAGAGCCCACCGAAGGAGAAACCAGGTAACCGCTTAGCCCGTGAAAAGAGCACTTCTCTTATTTCACTGCTAAAGGACAACCACAGACCACATAAAACATTGAAACAATATAAACTATTGCAAAAAGCTTTAATCAACAGAGAAATCTTACCCTAAATTGGAAGGAATGTTATGAAAGCTCAAAATATAGAAGGAACTTTAGCCATGTTTGAAGCCCTCAAGTAGATCCCACAAAGAAGAAAGCAAGGATGGGCTCTGCCTGCTGAAGTACATTCAAGATAGTTGGAGGGATTAAGTCTTTGGGGTGGGGGTGGGGGCTTCTTCGAAGGGTTGTGTGAAATACGTGCAGAAATCTTAGGACTCCTATATTTATTTATTTTCTAGTGGGATCCCAAAAGGAATTGTGGGATACACCTCATTTCTCTCTTCCCCACTCTTTCATATTTCCCATTCCTGAAAGACCCCATAGCACTGCCTCTTGTCATGCTTCCTCCTCTCCTTTCCGTGTGGGTCTGCAGCAAAACAGAACAAGGTTTGGGTCCAGTGGTACCTTTAAGACGAACAAAGTTTTATTCTGGGTATAAGCTCCCATGTGCACGCTTATAGCCAGAATAAAACTTTGTTGGACTTCTGGGTGCCAGTGGACTCAAGCTTTGTTCATGGTACATTGGTCTTTCCTCAAAATCAGTTCAAAAACTCCAGCTGGTGGAGATTGTCATAACACAGTTTTTTATCGGAGGGTAGATGGTTCATGCATATTCTTCCCACTCAAGAGCCACACCACTGGCTGCCCAACAGTGACTGGGCTCAATTTACAATGTTGGCTGTTACACAGAAAACCCTTCGTGGCCTGGGCAACTTTCCAATGGTCAAAATCGACAACTGCTCATACACCTGTTGGGTCTGTTATGGCCCCCCACCTTCTGGAGTGGCCTCTCCGAGGAAGTCAGGAAGGCTCCTGGCTTTCCAGTGTCAGACCCCATATTTACTCACTCACGAACAACACTCTCCAGAAGTAAGATTTCTTTATTGAGATATGCAGTTGATACAGGTATTAGTCAACTTGTGTCAGAACTGGCGAGTTTTGGCGCTCACCATTCAAACAGAACCCCCCATTCCTAGGGCCAATCATACCCCTCCTGCCAAGACAAAGAGCCAGTTCGGTGTAGTGGTTAAGTGCGCGGAGTCTAATCTGGGAGAACCGGGTTTGATTCCCCACTCCTCCACTTGCAAACGGCTGGATGACCTCGGGCAAGCCATAGTTCTGACAAGAGCTGTTCTTGAAAAAGGGCAGTTTCTGTCAAGAGCTCTCTCAGCCCCACCTACCTCACAGGGTGTCTGTTGTGGGGAGGGGAAGGGAAAGGAGTTTGCAAGCCGCTCTGAGACACCTTTGGGTAGTGAAGGGCGGGGTATAAATCCAATCTCCTCTCTTCTTCTTCTAAATCACTTAGCCATGAGATAGATCTCAAGGGAGCTGCATTTTTCGGGGTTTCTGCTACCCAGTTATTTTGTTATTTATCTAGTACTGTGCTAGAAAGACACATTCTCAAGATTCTTTCTTTAGGTGTTCTCGATGGCCACCAGTTACTGGGATGCTTCCAGGGAACCCTTGGTCTTCTGCAGGCTCTCAGCACTGAAAGATACCTTCCCTATACTGACTTATACTGGATCTAACTGTTGGTCTCTGACCGTCAGACTTGTCTGCTCAGACTGGTGGCAGGGGTATAAATCCAATCTCCTCCTCCTCTTCTTCTTCTTTCCCCCCTACCACCTGCTTTCTACAAAGTTTACTATCGCAGCACTCCTAGCAGCAGCAGTAGCTTCAAGGACATTTTATCTTCGCTTCAAGGACATTTTATCTTCCCTGGTTGGGAGGTTGCTTGCGAAAATTTGTTACTGGTGTCTACAGAAGCATTTGCACAAATCCCACCTCAATCACTCCCCCCTTCTCAGAAGAGCAGAGCGTCACACAGACTAGAAACTAACATGGCCAACGAAATACTGAGTTTGACATCCACAAACAATGCAAACCTAATGATTCAAGAGAGCTTTTCTACCCAGGCAAGAGAGTTGCACTGTACTCAGAGACTCATAAAGTTGCTTACATAAAGTGTTAGGGAAAGGTGTCAAACCTACGCCCCGTGGGCCAGAACCGGCCTACCCAGGGCTTTAATCCAGCCCGTGGCTTTCTCCTCTCCGCCCCCTCCTCTGCTTGTCCGAGCTGCCCCTGAGTTCAGCTTAACAGCTTGCTTGGTCTCATTTTTGCCTCCTTCTTTTGAATACTCCTCCTCTTCTTCTTCGTTCCCCCCTACCACCTGCTTTCTACAAAGTTTACTATCGCAGCACTCCTAGCAGCAGCAGTAGCTTCAAGGACATTTTATCTTCGCTTCAAGGACATTTTATCTTCCCTGGTTGGGAGGTTGCTTGCGAAAATTTGTTACTGGTGTCTACAGAAGCATTTGCACAAATCCCACCTCAATCACTCCCCCCTTCTCAGAAGAGCAGAGCGTCACACAGACTAGAAACTAACATGGCCAACGAAATACTGAGTTTGACATCCACAAACAATGCAAACCTAATGATTCAAGAGAGCTTTTCTACCCAGGCAAGAGGGTAGCACTGTACAAAAGGCTTCACAAAGTTACTTACCGTAGATAAATTATTGAGGACGGTGTTGCCAGTATCAAACCTACGCCCCGTGGGCCAGAACCGGCCTACCCAGGGCTTTAATCCAGCCCGTGGCGTTCTCCTCTCCGCCCCCTCCTCTGCTTGTCCGAGCTGCCCCTGAGTTCAGCTTAACAGCTTGCTTGGTCTCATTTTTGCCTCCTTCTTTTGAATACTCAGAGTGTGGAAAGAAATTCAGTAGCAGTGGCAGTCTTCAAATGCACCCAAGAACCCACACGGGAGAAACCTTTTGAATGTTCAGAGTGTGGAAAGAAATTCAGTAGCAGTGGCAATCTTTGACTGCATCAAAGAACCCACACAGGCCCACGCTGTCTTCTTTCTGTGTAGCCACCCATTTCCTGTACCAGGAGAAGTCTGTGTGCGGTGGCAAGAGACCTCCCCAACGCAGTCCGATCCTGGGGCCAGCTTCTCCTGGATGTTGTTTAAACCACTGGGCAGGAGAAGCCTCCCTGCCGGGTCTGCGAGTGGTGTGAGAGAGATCTCCCTGTCACACGCGGATCCTGGGGCCAGCTCAGTGTGTGTCGGGGAGACCAAGGGGGCAAGCAAAAGAGTAGCTACCAGACCTGGAAGTGGGGAAAGAGGGTAGGCTGGAGACGGATCGGGTTGGAATAAGACGTGGGAAGAGGAAAGGGCAGGGGCTTCAGGATCAGTGTTCCCTTTTCGTTCTTCTTTCTTCTTCTAAAAGGGAACATTTGCAGATGACCTAGTATTTATATTGGATAACCCACTGGAATCAATTCTTACTTTGAAACAAGAACTTGGAGACTATGGACTTGTAGCTGGTTTGAGAATTAATATCAATAAAACTAAGATAGTGACCAAAAATATGGAAGAGGAGAGGACAACTCAACTACAAGAAACATCAGGTTTCCAACTACAGAAGAAAATAAAATACCTAGGAATTGTAATGACAAACAAATGCAGCTCATTACAAGAGAATAATTATAAAGAATTGTTGAGAAAAACAAAACAGGATCTAGAGAAATGGAAAGACTTACAGATATCTTTGATGGGCCGCATCGCAACAGTTAAAATGAATATACTTCCAAAATGGCTATTTTTATTCCAAACAATTCCCATTCTTCAAAACCAAAAAAATCTTCAAGGAACTGGAGCAAGCGTTATCAAAATTTATTTGGCAAGACAAGAGACCCAGAATAAGACTGAAAGCTCTTCAAGATACTAAAGAAGGGGGGGCTTGGCCTACCTAATTGGAACCTTTATTATAAAGCAGCTGCATTGACGTGGATTAAAGATTGTGTCACATTGGAAGATAAGAGAACACTAAACTGGAAGGCCACGACCTTCAATTAGGGTGGCATGCATTCTTATGGTATGGAAAAGCAAGTGTCCATAAATATTTCAAGCAGCACTGGATAAGGGCATCTTTAATGAAAGTATGGGAAAACATACATAAGCGCTTTTATATAAAAATCTCAAAATTGACTGTTCCACTAGAAGCCATTACACTCCCAAATGCATACCAGGAAGAATTACCAGGAAGGTATTTGGATATTTTTGGCTCCGAAGATCGTTTGAAACCA